TTCTGATCTCCTGGAGCACCACATTTTCCTAGCTCGGTATGAGGGTGTATCTGTTGCTGCCTCACAGGCTGTGGGTGTGGTCGTATCTATTCATTTCTCTCCCTCATGGGCTAGAGACTCAGTTGTGTCTGTTAGTGTCTCACCAGACAGGAGACTCAGAACGTTTTCCTTTCTGATGAGGAGGAGGTTGCAATTTGGTGCTAATCCATTCCAGTGCTGTGATAGGCTGTTTTCATCAGAGCAGGAGGACACAGTGTGGCCCACCCTTCTTTCCTCCTGTGGGACTTATTTGCATAGTCCAAACACACAGTTAGAAAAGTGTCTTTAAAGTTTTACCAATGCATTTCTCACTTTCCAAACCACCACCAGAATACTCTTGGTAATATTCTAAACAAATAGAGACCAAACATAATGGAAAACCATTGAACTGTAATGCATGTATTCATTTGTCCATTATCAGCTTAATTTGTGTAAGATGTTGGGTGTGTATGATAGCACCGTTATGAATGGATTTGGATGGATCTTTGTGATCTCTCTTTGTTTCACCCACTGCTGCTGCATCCGGAGGTCCTAAAGGCCCCGATATACTTCAAACGAAATTAAAGAATGAACTGATGTGACGTCATTTCAAACAAAATCAGGCCTAAACGAAGTTTGTTTTGTGTTCATTTTGGGAGTTAGAAATGGCTTGCCACTTGTTCACTCTGGCTGCAAAACACCTTTGTACAACCACTGGTCCGTGGCGATTACGTAATAGGTAGGTGTGCACTGAGGCTCCGCCTTCCTTCACACAGAGCACTTCTCTGGCTCATTTCGTCTGTTGAGGCCTGTCGAGGTAAGATCTCCACAGGAGAAAACGAACACACTGGAGATCCGCTTTATAGTAGAAAATGAAGTTGTGCATCTGATGAAATGAGGCACTGACACTGTTTTTCATGTTTGATACTGTTAAACTGCTTGCTTTTAAGTAATATAGTTCCATATAAATACACGTGACGTGACTTTCCTGGAGTGCTAATTAGCAGATCTGGTGCAAACATATCAATGTTGCTATGATCAGATGCTTTTCTTATTCATTGAATTCAAGTTTATTTGTATAGCGCTTTTCACTATACAAATTGTTGCAAAGCAACTTTACAGCAAATTAAGTTTCTACAATATTTAGTAGTAGCTTATCAGTGGTGACTGTCAGTTAATGTACATATGGCAGAAATGTAATCAAGAAAAATCAATTAAAGACGTAATCAAACAGACGATGAACACTATTAACAGCAATTATTATATGATGCAATCAAACTTATAGCAAAATTTAGTAGTTCTGTATGTTGTTTCAGGGTTGGCATCATCTGAGGGGTTGGCATCATCTCTTCTCAGGTGTTCTGGATCCAGAGTGAAGCTTGTGTAAATCCTAGTTACAGAAACAGAGACATAATTAGCATAGCTGCTGTTCCAACCAAGCAAAATTGATTTGTTTAACCCAAGCTAAAGAATAATAATGTGGTTCTGATCAGATATAACTGCAGTACAAGATTATGAGATGCATTATTTGAATGCTTGGCCAAAGATATGTGTCTTTAATCTAGATTTAAACAGAGAGAGTGTGTCTGAACCCCGAACGTTATCAGGAAGGCTATTCCAGAGTTTGGGAGCCAAATACGAAAAAGCTCTACCTCCTTTAGTGGACTTTGCTATCCTAGGTACTACCAAATGTCCAGAGTTTTGCGACCTTAGGGAGCGTGATGGATTGTAGCGTGGTAGAAGACAAGTTAGATACGCAGGAGCTAACCCATTAAGGGCCTTATAGGCAAGTAATAATATTTTGTAACTGATACAGAACTTAATAGGCAGCAAGAGCAGACTGTAAAATTGGGGTAATATGATCATATTTTCTTGACCTGGTAAGGACTCTAGCCGCTGCATTTTGGACTACCTGTAGCTTGTTTATTGAAGATGCAGGACAACCACCTAGCAGTGCATTACAATAGTCCAGTCTAGAGGTCATGAATGGATGAACTAGCTTTTCTGCATCAGAAGCAGGTAACATGTTTCGTAGCTTGGCAATGTTTCTAAGATGGAAGAATGCTGTTTTTGTATGCATATGCTTTCTTTAAAAACATGCTTTCTGTTCTCAAATTTTTGTTATTTATTTTGTTACTGAGAGGAAAGTGCACAGCACATATTTACATATTCATCTAAATGTAGCTTTCTTTGGTGTGTGTGGCATCAGGATGTTTGATAACGGTATACCACTGCTCACATCTTTCGAACTTCGTTTTACCCCTAAATGAAGAACGAAAAGAACTTTCTCTGTGAGTATATGTGAGCCTTAAGGAGTTTTTTTGCGGTCGCAGGCCAAAACCTTAAGAATTTGTGTCTAGGTGGGTGAAGGGCAGAAACTGCATATGGACCAATGGGATCTCCTGTTCTTCCCGAGCTTGATATCAGAGGTGGCCCTCTAAGAGGTGTCTGGCCATTGTCCTTGCATCTGATGGCAGTGGATAGTTTGTTTGTATTTGTCCACCGACAAATTTGTCGACTGTTGTCCGCCATGAACTGAGCCCTGTAATGTGCTGTTCACCACATATATACAAAGGTGTGTGTGTGTGTGTGTGTGTGTGTGTGTGAGAGAGAGAGATAGAGAGAGAATGTTTTCATTCACTCATCATCGTGATTGTCATTCATGTGTGGACTTCTATGAACTCTGTATGCCTACTTAAACATCTCCATGGACAGTACCAGTGAATGAAAAGAAACATTTACAAGCATTATATACATGTTTAAGTTCCTCTCACTCCACAAGACTCTCAAATGTACCTGTATACAGAACCAGAATGAAAAATACAAGTATTAAATAAATTACATATTACGGTATTTATTAACATTTATTATGAACTCCAAGCCTAAACAAATGTAAGTGAAACTGAATTTGTGTGTGGGAAATGCTCCATTCAAATAAACTAAATGGTAAGCGTATTTGGCGGGATAAATGGTATGCGTATTTGCCGTGCTGAGGAGAGGGCTCCGGGCTTGGTATTTTGCCCGGACCCAGAGCAATCCCCCCCAGGGTAGGAATGGGCTAATGGTGAGGAGTCGGGTGGAGGAGGCAGGGCTCCAGACAGAAAAATCAATTAAGGAGCCCATTGGCTCCTATAAGAAAAAAAATTATGCGCCAAATTATTTTTGCCACAGAATAAAGTTTTATTTTTATTATTTTTTTACACTTAAAGCAGCACTATGTAACTTTTGGCACTCTAGCAGTTAATAAACAGAACTGCACACATCCCGCGGAAGAACATTCCAACCGGAGCTACTTCTCTAAGTTTATGTCTATGGCGATTCACGCAGGTATGTGTTACTCCGCAGCGGTGACGACCCGACCAGGCTACAATAGTCCAAATATAAGTACTTATTATAAGTGTACCGGAGTGATTCGGAATAAGACAAAAACGCGGTTTGGAAGATGAATTCATGATGTACTCGCTCATTATATACATTTTGCAAATTTTGAACACAGAAAAAGTTACATAGTGCTGCTTTAACATTTCAGTCATACTATCATGTGTTTATGTCTCATCTTTTCTTGTCTTTATCAGCATTTTAATCCATCTTGTAGATGTCCTGATTACTAATATGCAATTATAGGTGTTGAATTTTACCTTTAGTTTCTTGCATTCTTTCTTATCATGTCAACAGGTTAAGTATAAATATGAATATGAAATATAGCGCATACATTTAGTAAAATGCTCCTACTTCTAGTTACTTTTTCTAGCTGACGAATGAGTTCATGAACGCCGAATGGTTATTCTAAGATGAATGTATTATGTCGCATTGTTTACAAGCTTTACGCGTTTTCCGCAGTTTGAAACACGGAATGAGCGATTACATGAGACATTTCAATAAGATGTACTGTATCTTATAATATACATTTTGATGTCCATTCATGTTTATGTCATACTATAGTAGTAAAGAGAAAGATATGATGGGTTCACATGCCGCTTGAACTGCGGCGCTAAAGCGACTGCATTAAAGAGAGCCAAAACGGTATTTATTGTTTGAATTTTGAATTTGGCAGAATTTTAAAGCTGATACTTTGTTTATTAAAATGTAACAAAGCACAAAGCTTATTGCGATTATTGGATGGTAAGTGTGCTACAAATAATATGAAGCTCACGCATTAACAGAACACAGCATTTAGACCATTAAAGATCTTGATAACAAGAAGCCATCGTATCGATTATAAACAAATTGTTAACGATGTTGCTAATGTCCACACAGCTGACAGCGTTACCTTTTGTAGTTTGTTCAAGTTGTGCATGAAATGGACACTGTTTTTCTGCACTTTTACTTCGCACGTCTCCACTCTCTAATGCTGCTCAACCGGAGCTGCTTTCAGCAGGTGTGCCGTCAATGCTGCTGCTGACTGTTTGAAAGTCTTTTTTTCACTAAAACTTTGATGCGCCTTGTCTCAGTTTATTACGTCAACATAAAAGATGTGATCGCAAAACAATCAGAAAAAAGTCATTACATGCACATTTTTAAATCATAACATGTACATTTCTATAGTCGCCAATAGAAATTTCACTCGCAAATTAAAATTTTTAGTCGCAAATGCGACTGTTTTAGTCGCAGTCTGGAGCCCTGGGAGGGATGCTGGAAGACTTAGAGAGAATGAAGGTAATGCGGCTTAGGCTATTTATAGAGGTTCTCTCTCGAGCTGATAGGATAGATTGTGTGATTGCTGATAATGAATTGGCCGGGTTAATTATCTATATGAGCTCCTCCCGAACTTTGTTAATAAAACATAATGTCTGTTCTATTTGAGCATCATTACACAAATATCCATTTAGCATGTTGATATAACTCGGTTATTCTGTCTGTAAAATGTTGTCCGTTTTCTTAAGAGATTAAGTTAAATGCTATAGCTGCTCGTAGGTTAAATTTCTGAAGGTGCAGAAATGTCTCTTGCTTTCTCACGTTGTGTTTGTCATTTGTCATTACAGGAGGTGACAGAGAAAAGTGAACGCATCACTCAGCTGGAGCAGGAGAAAACAGCTCTGATAAAGCAGCTGTTTGAAGCTCGAGCTAGCAGTGCTCAAAACAGCAGTGCTCTCGATTCTACCTTCATCTGATCACCATCACTCCAGAGATCTGCTAAAATCACAATCATGATATCCTCAGCACCACACTACACACTGAACCATGCCTTCATATGATTACTGTCACTCCAGAGATCAACACAACAACACACTACACGCAGAACCATCTGAGACAAAGATTACAGGATTTTCAGAGGAATTTGAACAAACAACAGTCCAAGCTACGATATCAACACGATTCACGGAGGAGCTGCAGCTTCACTTCTTATTTCACCCTAATTTGGGTGTCAGCTGAGACAAAATACATGAGATGAGCTGAAGAATAAACTGGATTCCAGTGTATGAAGGTCAGATGGAATGGATAAACATATTTGAATAGAGGCTGCGTTTAAAGTTCCTGTATAGTTGGTATGAATGGAACTTTTATCTGAACAGTCAATTATTGAGCTCAGTTAAGTAGACTTTTCCTTTTGGTTTGGTTTGATTTGGTTTATTTTTGCTGTGTTGCTTTAATTAGCTTGCTGTTTTCTCTGAAAAAGTAGTACTTTTAAATTCTTCTCAGTAAAAGCTCCAGATCACTGTTAAAGGTGAAAAGTTGAAAAGACTTCTTAAAGACTTGATGTAACTTTAGTGACATATCTTTTCTTCTGTATTGATGTAGATCTGAGTTTATTTGAGATTATTGAAAAAGAAAAAAATGTAGGGCAAGCAGTCCATTGGTTGATTGGATGGATCTGAATGTGAACTTGCAGTCGATTGTAAGAAAGGAGTGAACAAAATTATCATCACTAAAGAGAAAACTCATTTTACCAACCATTATGATTACAAATTATGAGGTCAAAAAAAATGTGTAAATGCACCTGCAGTGCAGCCATTTATTCTGTTCCAGTCCAGTGCGCTCCATCTAGCTTTGAATCTTTGAATAAGAATCCATATGATTGTGCTTCTCTATAATAGAAGAATAATAATGTCATTGCCATTGCCATTGCCAATACCACTGAAAATTGCAGACTCTTCCACTAGTTTGTGTTTTTAATAATGGAAATCATTCTGGAGGGTTTAAATGCAGAAATGCGAAGCTTGTGTTCTTGTTGAAGCCTTTGCATTAATTCTTTAGTAAAGCGAGTGATGTTTAAAGTCCGCATGAAATCAAAATGGCCTTTATTTACTTTACTAGCGCACATTGCTAGTCTTAATGTGAACAATTAATCCGTGCAAGTTAATCCGCTGAAAAAAATTGTTTGTCTTGGTAATCTTTAATCAAAATCTAAACATTTCCTTCCGCTCTGGAATGGCATTCCTTCTCTGATGACGTCATTTTGACAGCCTGGGCAGAATATCCTTAAAGGGGTCATATGATGCTATTTTAAAGATCACTATTTTGTGTATTTGGTGTAACAGAAGGTGTTGACATGCTTTAATGTTCAAAAAACACATTATTTTTCAAATACTGTACGTTATTGTAGGTCCTCTATGCCCCGCCTCTCTCAAACACTTCGTTTTCAACAAAGCCCCCTCCTTTGACAAGCACAGTCTGCTCTGATTGGCCAGCTGACCCAGTGCATTGTGATTGGCCGAAC